AATTTTTATCAAACCACTTCATGGATGTTTTCCGAACTTTCAAAAATAGAAGCTCGGCTATACAAGGAAAAAATATTTAACACAACCATTCCAGAAGAATTATTAGATAATGTTTATTATTTTGATGCAAATTCTGTACATTCATCTTATGGTCACATTGAAGATGATCATATACCATTCTTAAAAAGAGGAGTTAAAATTCTACATGTCATTGCATATCCATTTCCAGGAGTATGGCATACTCCTAATGTGAGTATTTTTTTTTACAGTTTGTAACGCTGGTTTTTTATATATACTTCATTTACTAATAATCATCGAATCGACAGGATAACATAAACGCTATTGATAATGAAGTAGTATATAATTTGAACACTATATTTAGAATTTTTGCTGCCGAATATTTAGGCATTGACCCATCTTTATCCACGACTAGAATTCATGATGAATTGATATAATAGTATATTCTTGATGAACTGATATAGTAGTATATTCATGATGAATTGATATAGTAGTGGATTAATAATTATATTGATCACTATATTAAGAATTATTCGGAAAAAACTTATAGAATAATTTCAATGCCTTAGAGGTAAATTAAATTAATATACATTAAAGTTGAAATAAACTTACTATTCTCTCCGTCTGTAGGGACATTACTATTAGTGTGTGCATAAATATTCCAACTCTACAGACGGATTGATACATAATGAATTTAGGGTTAAAGTGATGTGATTGTTTAACTAAAAAATTGTCCAACATTGTTTCTTGATTTGAGTGTGAAATCGTTTGAATCTGATAACCAAGTAATCAAATGAAAAAAAAACTAGATGTTAGAAATAAAGTTCATATCAGCTTCCAATCACAGCCCAGAAGTGCGTGTTCAGTTACTTAAAAAATGATTCTTCATTTTAATAAATTCTGAATTAGCATGGCAAATTATTACATCATAACACGTTGGATGTTGACTGGGCAATTATCATGATGTTCAAAAAATACAACCTTAGATATGCATAAACAAGGATAAGAATTTCATCAGGCTTTGGAGTAATCTAAAGCAAAAGACCATTAATTTTTTATTTTTTTTTTTTGAAAAAAAAACAATTTAGATAAAATTCGCGATCATTTTTTCGTTGATTTAATCATTAATCATTGTAACTCAGAATTTGATAGTACATTTCTTTTGAAATAATCATCTCGCGTTCAATAATTACTTTAATAAGGAATCACAGAATCCTCTAGTAAAAATTTTATATAAAAGTGCGTACCTTAACTAGATAAAAAAACCAAGGAATACTGTAAATATAGACTGCTTCAAAAGACTGATTTCTTTCTCTATAGTACGTACGTACCTAGCTACCATCCAACAACGAATAACAGCCACTGGGAAAAAAACAAAAATATTAGATATTAAGTACTATTCGAATGCAAGTCAAAATTCTATAAGCCAAAAAAATTTATTAGCTATATAGTGTTCCGACTAGTGATGATACCCGGGTTGAATATTACCCGGGTTATCTGCAGATAATCGGGCCACTGATTTTTTGCTGCGACAGACCCAAATTCTGCCTGCTTCACAAGCCTGTTTATGCGAAATTATGCGAATCTTTTTCTTATTTGATATGCCAAATACAAACCTGTTTAAATGAATGAGTTCGACAGGGCGGCCCCTCCAAAGTCCGGTTACATGATGGTTGATGATCCACACCCTGCCGGATACATGATGGTAGATGATAAACTTCCTGCCACAGTAGCCGCAACAATCATTATCACGATTTAAAATAAGTACGATAAGGACTTCACATATGAAATAAAACAATATGCTGTAGGAGGATGTTGATCATCACCATCATGTATCCGACAGTGTGGATCATCAACCATCATGTAACCGGACTTTGGAGGGGCTGCCCTGTCGAACTCTTAAATGAATACTGTATAAATGAATATTCTGTATAAATGAATACAAAATTTTAGAACCAAGTTGGTTACTAAAGCTAATTGCATAAACTGTTTAACTGAATAATATATAAAAAATTTTCAATTTTATTAGTAAAAATTTTATAAAAATTATGTTATCTGAATATTTTTAAATTTTATTGGCATAATTGTTATACAAATTTTATAATTTGATTTAATTTTTTGTAAATAAATATTCTATTTAAATAAATACAAAATTGATCTATTAACCATATTCATTTAGATAGATTTAACTATATGTTTATTATATATATTATGTAATAAAATCTATGTTTATGTATATATTATTATTTAATCACAGATTTTTGATGGGTTTAATCTGGGTTGTAAACTTAGCTACTTAAATAAACATACAAATATTATAAACCATAGCTAATTCTAGCCTAACCCTTATTTAAAATGATTTAATCTTAAAGTTAATTAAATTATAAAAGACTATTTTATTTTAAATATATCTACTGTATATTTAAGATTTTCTACTTTAAAATTCTAACTATTAGAATTTTTGTCAGGATTTTGACTATCAAGATTTTATTAAAATTTTTCTATTAAGATTTTTTTTTGGTATTATAATCACAGGTTCAATAAATATATAAAAGATATATAACAGGATCCTTTTATTATCCTTTTATGTATTCAATCTATGATAACATAAAGAATAAATACCAGTACAATATAAAAAATAAATATTAGATAAATAAAAGATATTTATTAATATCCTAATATCAATTTTTTATATAGTAATTATATATCTGTTTTGCTATATATATTGAAAATATAAAAGATAAATATTGGTAAATATAAAATAAATATTAGCTAAATAAAGAGTACCTATTTATACCTGATATCTATCCTATATATATCTACACTTAACTTGGTTTGTTATAGTTATTGGGCAAATCTATAGTAACTAGAGTTTCTCAAAATCAAATTAAATCAAATATCAAGTATATTTGAATTTAATTTGATTTGAAATTTTTGTATTTGAATTTGATTTGATTAAATCAAATCAAATTAAATCAAATAATATTTGAAAATTTTTAAAATTTTTAAAATTTTTGATTTTTTTAAAATCCTTAATTTATGCAAAATTTTACTAAGTTAATTAATTTTATATATTAAGTAAAAAATATTTTTCTAATCAAAATACCTCTAGTTAAATAAAAAAATAATAATTGAAATTGACAAAACTCTTTTCAATAATCCTTTAGTCAATAACAGAAAAAACTAAACTACAGAAAAATGTTATAGAAATAGCTAAGTCAGATACTATTTTAGTTCTTTCTTTAAAGAAGTTGTTGTTAACAAAGCTAAAAGACATAAAATACTGAGGAGCAAGTATACTAGATATAGTTTTTCTTGGAGTCAAGTCTTTGTCTAGCAGACTTTTCAAGATATTTAGCATTTAAACCAGAAGAGTTATTTTAAGAACAAGTAGAGTAAAGCTCTTGCTAAAATAGTATATAACTATAAAGCTTACAGAATAATCTTATATATATTTGTTAGTCTATCACTTTTTTTTGAAAAAATTTTTTGCAAAAAGTAAGTGTTTTAGTTTATCTCTTCTAAAAGATCAATATCATGTATACCAATCGAGTCAGTATTGTTTATTTTCCAAATTGGTCTGATAACAACAAATATATGAATATATATATCTCAAATATTAAAATTTTGTACAAACAATGCTTCAAAACCTTAACCTCTCTATAATTTAGATATATTTTGTCAAGAATGAAGGTTCTATACTACAGATTTAAGAAATAAGCTTCCAATAATGACTGATTGACTATAAAGAAGA